TTTACCTTAGCCCATCAGTGGCTCTAAGCTTGCCCATGTCTCTGTTGCTGAAAGTTCCTGGTAAAATGGGAAGGATCTGTTATATCCTGATGGTGTTTCGCACAGCTCCTAATAATGACATAAAAGTCTTGTCTTTACTTCCTGATTCTACTTGGACCTCATTCATAGACATTATCCTCTGTACTAGGATGACAGCATTCAGTTTCGGGTTACCCTCAAATACAACATGGCTTCTCTTTCCATGTGCTTTTGTTTCTGCCCCTCCCCTTGCCTGAAATGTCTCCCTTCCCTCTACCCATGCGAGTTTCTTCTACAAAACCTTCCCAGCCCATGGCAATGACCTCTTTCTTCTCTCCTGCAGGAGCACTTTGTGAGTCTAGTACTCACTTGCTATGCACTTGTGCACTCCTTGAAGGCCCAGAACAGGGCTCACACACCCTGGCACCAAAATGAGGCTGGAGGGGCTCTGCACTGCTTTACCCAGGACCCACATCAGTAGTCAACTAGCCATTCCTGCTGCAAAGTGAAGAAGCCCCAGAGAGACACTGTAGTGACATGGACTTCATAAACATTAATCGCCTCATGGTTGTTGCTGTTACCTTTACAGACGCAGCCAACCTTCTCCAGCCTGTCATGATCTTTTGCACACAAACTGTGTTCCTACAAAATTATTTCTTTACTAAGTGAGTCAATGAATCATACTGTCATGTGAATTTCCCCTGGATGCCACAGCTTACATCCTAGAACCTATGGGAATCCTCAATAGAAATATCAGACAAAAGCTGAAGACAATATGTGGGAGAGCAGAAATAGATCAATAATAGTTAATATGCTGAGATAGCCCTGCACTCCCTTAGATTTCATTTTTATTTTTAAAGTCTGAGTCTTTTAGTACTAGACGAAAGCCTTAAATTCTCCTATAACTACATTCTCAGAGTAATTGTCTTAAAGACCCCTGTGACATGGAAACCTTTACCAGCAGAATCTAAAGCTCAGGTAGATCTCAATAGCCGCTTTCATATATGTGAACAGTTCACTGGGTTTTCAGCTCAACACAAAAATTACAGTAAAAACTGAACAAGGTCAGAGCAAACTTCGTTTGAAGATGAATCCCCCTTCACTAGAGGTGTTGAATATACTGAACATCTTATAAAGAAATGATTAAAAGGTATTCAAACAGTAGAGGGAGATTGTATCACCGCTAAATTTTGTTTTGTTTTGTTTTGGGGCCATGAGATTATAAGCCAGATGGCTCATTCCTTAATCTTCGGGCATAAGCTACATCCTCAAACCTTGTCACTTTCTATGATCAGCGACAATCAAACAAAGGAATCATCACACTGGAGAAAAACAGGAAAAAAAAGCATTTTAAAATCACTGTTATTGTTGCTGCTGTAAAGAAAAACGCTTGTTAATTTCCATCCTCATCCTACTCACAAAATCACCAAAATGCTTCTCCCAGGTGTAGGCTAGCTGTTTTGATTACAGACTGTTTTTCCCCCAGACAGCAACTTTTTGCTCTAGGCAAATTGAGCTGTTTTCATGTAAATATAGCCCATGCTTCAGCAATATTTTAATCACCCACTTTAATGGGTATGTGGCTACCCCCCACATATCAAACTCCTCTGAATGACCTCCCTAAGTCAAATAGACTCAGAGGAAAATCATTAAAGCTAAAGTTGAAAAGTTTCCTAGCATTCATCTATTATAATACTTAGTCATCATAAAGGGCTCACTTTGGTATTGTCTCCAAGTTACCCTATGACTTTTCCTCCTGAAGAAAAGTCCTTAAAATTAATTTCTGCTGAGCAAACATTGTGTGCTACTTCCACAATGCTTTATAGTCATGATTTTATTTCATCTTCACAGCAAGTAATGAGGTATGATTATTAGTATTCCTCTTTACTATATGAGGAGATAATAAGACTCTGAAGCTAGGGAAATGACCCCCAAAGATACAATTACTAGGTGGCAGAGATAGAATTCAAACCCATGTCCACATGGTTCTAGAACCTGAGAAGCCTTAGTGTGCTCTGCAACAGCAGCAGCAGCATCACCAGAACTTATTAAAAATGCAAATTCTCAGGTGCTCCCTAGATATGATGAATCAGAAACTCTATGCTCTAGGAGATTCTGATGGACTGAGAACCTCAGGTCCAAGTGAACTGGACAAATCTATTCCATTTTAAATACTGTGCTAGGTACAAGGTACGTTAGAAAGGAATGAGAAAATCTGATTTCTCCATGGAAGAATAATTATAACTTAGCAAAGAAGATTAAAAGCCGAGAAAAAGACATGCTAAGTATTTAATAAATGTTTATTAAATGAAATAGATTTACATTATAGGCTGTGTGGTTTTGTAGAATTAAAATGTCTACAACTTCTTTTGCTCCCTGCTGCCTATCTGTACAAGTTGTGGGAAATTTTCATAAAGCTTAAAAAAAATGATTCACCTTTAGATAACCTTCTGTAAGTCCTATTCAGCCTCCTGCACAGTTTTAACGTTTTGGGGGTGTGGGTAGTTTCAGTACCCTGGATTTTATTTCTGCTCTGAGACAACTTTCATGCTGAGGAGCACAAGCCCTCGGATGGCCTAAGGACAGGGAGCCATGCTGGGAATCTTCAAGAAACAGCCACACCCGGGCTGGAATGCACAGGTGGGAGTGCAGGCAGGGTGTGCCAGGGTCTCATTAGGGTTCATTCTGCTCCCCATCTGAATTCCCAAGAGTGGCATTGACTCTGTTCTCTCAGTGCTTTAACATCACTGGCAACACAGTCAACTGGACGTCTCGGAAATATACTCATTTTAAAAAAACACAGCACCTAGTAAGCTAGCAATATACAAATCTGTTTAACTTAACCATTGATTCTTGACAAGGATTGCAACAGCACCAGGACAAACTTGTCATAAAAATTGGTGAATGAAATCAGCATTTATTGGGTGATATCAGAGATACTAAAAATCTCTCTCTCTCTCTCTCTCTGAGACAGGGTCTCACTATGTAGCTCAGGCTGGCCTCAAACCGGCAATGATCCTCCTGCCTCAGTCTCCTAAGTGCTGGGATTACAGACATGTCTCACCACAGTGGGCTTAAAGATGCTAAAATGCACGCATACCATGAATTGTCCTATATTACCCAAAACTGATAAATACCCTGCCAGACCTTTAGGAGGTGCAAAACACATTTAAAGTTTAAAGTCATGTAGGGCTAAAACTTAACTCATACATATATATATATATATTTTTTTTTTCTTTTCTTTTCTTTTCTGCTTCACTACATGCTGAATTTCCTAAAAATGTAACTGTAAGATTAGTCAAGAGAAGTTCATATATTATTTTGTTCAGAAGTTTACTGAGTTATTTACACTCAATAAACCATCAAGCAACACTACCATTGTCATTAGTATCTTCTCTGGAATATGCCCTACAGGTCATACAGTCTAGATTTGTAGTTGTGACAGTCGGGAAACTAAGTGTTTATGTATATTACTATTCAATTTCAAAATACTAAGTCCAAGTGTTTACTACGTTCAGTTAAACACTGTCTTGTTTCAAACGCAAACACACTATAAGTAGGTTCTAGCAAAATTTTGCTGAGGTTACATAATTTTATTATAAATGGAAGTGCTTTTCTATATTTAAATTCTATACATTTGGATTTTATAAAAGTGTGCATCACAGGCCAGGTGTGGCGGCACCTGCCTAAAATGCCTCCACCCCGGGCTGCTGAAGCAGAAGCACACATTTAAGCCCAAGCCTGGGCAACGGAGTGACTTAACAAGACCCTGCCTTAAAATAAAAAGTAATAAAGGACCAGAGATGTAAAGGCCTTGCATTAAATCCTAAGTGCCACAATAAAAAATATGGATCATAGTTAATTCTATCATCTATAAGCCTCATATCACCGTGGATAATACAAAGTGTCGGTTATAAAAGGGGACTTTGGGTTAGTGAGGTTAAAATAAGGATAAACAAGTGGTGGTGTCATGTGGATTTACTTTTTCTCTATTGATCGCAGTGGATTCTGACTGACTTGGGGTTGGAGATCGATCATCCTCACCACTGCAGCCTCAAGGTCAAGGAGAGAGCACCCCAGTATGAGGTCATTTGCTCACCCCACAAAAATGTGCCGACTGCTACTGTGAGTCAGGCAGTGTAGAATGCAATCACGGATCAGACACCAACCAAGCGGGACCGTGAAAGTGCTGGAAGAAATTGCAGATCGGACATAGCAACTGGGTGGAGGTCATGCAGGTAGCATGGTGAAAGCAGGCTTCTCTGAGAAGCTAACTTTTACTTTAAGGACGACCCATGAAAACCAGCTAGCTATAGGAAATCCATGCAAAAACATAGAAGTACAGGGACTACAAGCACAAAGCCTCAGGCAAGGCAAAGATCAACTGGCTCTCAAGACAGAAAGCCACAGGCCTGGCTGGAAGAGAGTCAGAGGGCCATGGGAGGTCAGAGTGGCACAGGTAAGCTAAGGTATGTAGCTGTATTGCTTACCTTTCCCATTGCTGAAAACTAGCATGTAACACCCAGAATTTAAAAGAGGAGAGGTTTAATTGGGCTCATGGTTTCATAGGATTCCACCTGTGGTCATCTGGCTCCCTGGCAATGTCCTGAGGTAAGGCTATGGCCGAAGAAAGATGTCCATGGCAACCAAGAAGTAGAGCAAAGGAACAGTGCCAGAGAGGAAGGGGCTAGAGATCATATACAGGGCCTAAGGTCGTGTTCCATGACCCAACCAGACACACCAGAAGTGGGCTCTGACAATCCCTCATCATTTCTGGATGCACTCAAGTGGACACATCACAAGAGTCAAAGCAGGCAAAGGCCAAATGCTGTCAGCCTCAGTGGCCTTGGTAAAGCATTGGAATTTTATTCTAAGAGCAAAGTGAGACCACCGGTGGGTTTCAGGGAGAAGAGGAATGTACTCTAGTTTCCCTTTTAGAGCAGTTGCTCTGGCTGCAGTGAATAAATTGCACTATGGTTGTTCAGTGAGTGTTTAATATATGCCCAAATACATTTTTACATAAATGAGTGAATAAATCTTTTTATTGAATGATGCAGAAAAGGCAAAAACAGCAGCTTTGTGCTGGTCAAACTATACCTACCCCTTCCCTCTTCTACCTTGTCATGTGACTTCCCATCGGTCCCTGCGGCTCACATTCCTCTCGGGGACCACAGACCTTGAAGGTCTCCAGAAATAACTCAGCAGCTCCTGCCAAGCCCGCCCCACGGCCAAGGCCCTCAGTCTGCAACAGCTGAGAGGAAAATGCTGAATGCCTCTGCTCTGTTTATCACCCTGGGCTTGGTATTTCATCTGCAGCTGGAGTCCTTTCTGTAAGATCACTCCACGTCTATAAGTCGACTCATTTCCACGTTGATTGCAAAGCTGGAAATGTAGACACGTGTCATTCTCAGTCTTGGCCCAAATGCTTCTTGCCAGCGGTAGCTCTGACGATGGAGTGTTGACAACACTCGCTAGTTATTGTCTGAAGTGCCATTGGTACGAGTGGGCTTAGGAGGAACAATTTGATAATCAGACCCCATCTGCGGAGTAATCATGAGTTGCATTATAGAGAAGATGTAAGTAAATGATGGTGATAGAACTATCTTATTTTCAACTTCCCTTACTCAAGCAAAGATGACATAAAAAGATGTTGATACGCAGAACAACTTTGTATTTTTTCAATATAATTGAGCATCATTTAGTGCTTCTGGATTTAACTAAGTAAAGCAAGTGGCAGGCTGTAAAACAAAAAAGCTCTCATGGATACGATCTCATTTGCAAATGCATGGTGTTAGAGTTGTAAAGTCAGACATGGTTGGTGAAGATATGTAAGCCAAAAAGAAGCATGTGGCCTTGGAAGGAAGTATTCTTTAAGCACAGTACAGTCACATGCCTTCTGGATGATGGCAGATTCCTTGGTGAGCCTTTGTGGATTCAGATCCTGTTCCTACCTTTTCGATGACTTTCTGTTCTAAACACAGACTTATTATATCACCTGTTTTTGTACCTGTACAGTGAAACTAAAAACAATACCTTTGTCTCAAAGTTGTGGTGAAAATTAATCAATATGTTTAGAAGAGGGGCTGGCATACACGAAGAGCTCAAAAAGTAGTAAACTGCTCTTCTTATAGATTTTCTCTTTCTCTCCAAAGCCAACCCTACTTGGTGGGTGTCCTGAAGCTCTCAAACTATTAATCTGCCAGTTTACTTTTTACTTCTATTTTATTAAAAATGGGACCTAGGTATACCAGGCTTCTCAAATTTTTTCTATTCAAAAGTGTATCATGGTGATTATTTTCTTGTCCACATCCAAATATGTATAATTAATAGTTTTGGATTGTTTAAACATATGGATGTGATAGCATTTAACCATTTTTAAATAGCTAAATATTTAAATGGCCTCAGCCATTTTGCTGCTGTATGGAGTGTAGAAAAACATCATTGTCAAAATATCTTTGCACACTTGTGTTTTTAAAATATTAAAGGAAAAATTGAGTGAATGCTATTATACAAAGGAGGCAACTTCCAGGATTTGAAGAATTTCTCTAATTTCTTACAGATAGAACTCATAGTACGTGGTATAAAGAAGATAAACACTTAAGTCTTCCAAATTAATTATTCTATTGGACCATATAAAGTTGAATAAAATCTTCTCACTAAGTCTGATAACTGCTGTAGGTTGGGAAGTCCTTCCTATGGAAATATTACTAACTTTATTTTTCTTAGCTGTGTGTTTCTTAGCTGGTAGGACTGACTATAAACTGACCGAACATAATCAACTAACTGAGCTGTTATCCATGTATGGGAAAGATCACATATCCCTAAATGTGGGTAAGGAGTGTGCACTGAAAACTCAATATGGTAAGGACGCTGCAAAGAGGATGAGCGGAAATGGAATTGTATCAGAATTTGTGGAGAGCTGGAGGGCGGGACCTCATGCCATCAGCACAAGGTAAGCCTGGAGCAGGCCAGCCATGCCACTGATAAGTAACACATGGGCTGTCCTAGCCACAGGAGAAACTCATGTTTCTTGCAACCTAGAAATCCAGGGCAGGGATTAAGCCTAAGCAATTATTCCTGCCTGGCAAGCTAGCTTGGGAGAAGAACTCCACTGCAGTGTCTGCCGTATCTCAGAGTGCTACCATCAGGAAGCATCGTGTGAGGGAGTTTATTGTTTGGGACTGAACTACTCTAGAATGAGATGTCATGGAACAACCACTCCAGGGTCACCTAGTCACCGTGGCTGTGTGAGAGACCGTCACAAGAGACACTGTAGAGAGGGGGAAGGCCAGCTGCAAACCTGCTAAGAAGCAAGCGGGAGCGTGAACTGTAAGGGCGTGGCGTTGGCTCCACTGCTCTACGCGGTGAGGAATGAGACGTGTTTCATATGGGTCACTGAGGGAGTCGAGTCTGAGAGCCAAGATCCAGGCTGACTGGTCGCTTCGTGTGGCTTTCCCCTCCAGTGCAGAACTCAGTGGTGTGGTTTGTTTCCCTCCCTAATACTTTCAGGGATATGACTTGACTTGGACATTTGCCATCCCCCAGGTGTGCAGACTGAGGGCCTTCCGGAATGAGTGGGCACCTCCTGTGCCTACAAACCAGGAAGCTACTCGGGGGCTAGCAGCAGCTCTGGATGCCTAGAAAAAAAAGAAAAGCCTCAGAAATGAACACTGTACTGCTGCAGAGAAAATGCCACTAATTGACCAACCATGGTGGGAAACACCAGATAGGCTCAGCTTACACACAGTCCCACTTTGCTTTGGGGAACAGGGAGGAATTACAAGCCCCAGCTATGACTCCTTTCAACATTAGAGGACCCAGAATGAAGACTTTTCAATACAAGAACCTTGGTTAGGAGGAATTTTTTGGACTCACTTTTGTTTTCCTTTCCATTTTTCATTACTCTCATCTAACTTTACTTTTTAAAATTCTCTAATTGGACTTCTTAAATCTCTTGTTCTTTTCCTCTTTCTCATCTTCTTTTCCTATTTTATCCTTGTTTTCCTCTTTTTCCCTCTCTTACCCCCTTTTAAACTTATTTCATTATTATTATTTTAATATTTATTAATTTTTATATTTTTAGTTTGCTCTATGTTATTTTTGCCCCTTTTCTTTTCTATCATTATTGGTGATGCAGTTATTAGCTTTAATTGTTTTGTACTATATTTTTTTAATCTGGCTTGTTTTTGTGTTGTCATTGCTGCTGCAATTGGTTTTCTCTTCTCAAAGTGATACCAGGGATTGAGCCTTGAAGCGGTGGCTACACTCTATGAAGACACATACAACCAGAAGGCATTTCCATGCAGACAGATGTACAAATACAATCATAGAAACAGAAGAAGTGTAGAAAAACAAGGCAATGTGAATCCACCAAAGGCTCATTACTCTTCAGTATGTGACTCTAAAGATACTAAAGTGGATGACATACCAGACAAAGAAGTTTTAAACACTGATATTTAAATGACTAATGACTTTGGAAAGAATACATATAAACAGATTCATGAATTAAGGAAGACAATGCATGATATGAAAGGGCCATTCAATAGATAGAGGTTTTGGAAAAGAAAAAAGAACTACTCAAATCTCAGAACTGAAAACCCAGTGAGTCAAATACAGCAAAAACCCAGTTGAAAGCCTCATTAACAAATTAGATCAAGTGGAAGAAAAATAAAGCCTGGACAGGAGACTGATGAATTATCAAATTAAAACAATAACAGAAAAATAATGAGAAATTATGTACAACATACCAAATCTGTAGGAAACGATTCACTGACCAAACCTAGGAAATCAGTAGAAGAAATTATAAAAATTAGAGCCAAAATAGGTGGTGTAGAAACTACAACAACAACACAAAGAATGAAACAAAGAAATGGTTCTATGCAAAGATAAATGAGAGCAGCCAAAATAACTGAAAGACAGAGAACACCCCAATTAAAATTAGAGGTGAAAAACAGGATATCCCAAAAAGGTTTTAGGGACTATTTTGAAAAGTATCCATTAAGTTGGAAATCTAGAAGAAATGGACAAATTTCATGATGCACATGACCTTCCAAAGCTGAACCAAGAGACTATGAAAAGCTTAAATAGATCAATACCAAGCCACGAGCATGAAACTATTATGTAAATTCTCCCAACAAAGAATATCACATGATGGGATGGATTTATACTTCCAAATTCATTCAATGGAAACTCTGTTACCCTACTACCAAAATCTGTCAAGAACATAAAACCAACAGCAACAACAAAGAAAACTATGAGCTTATAACCCTGATAAACAGATGCACGCAATCCTCAACAAAATGCTTGAAGACCAAATTTAACATCCCCTGTAAAAGATTGTGAGGTCCATGACATGAGACAATATAAAGATGCTGTGATCCAGCTGGTGTATTTCATTGCATGTTAATTAATAAATATTAGCTGTTGCAATAGAATGAAGGCTAAAAACCACTGAATCTTTTCCATATATGCATATAAAGCTTTCCATAAAATTCAACATCCCTTTAAGATAAAAACCCTGAATAATCGACGGATAGACTCATACCACAACATAAAGGCTATGTGTTCAAAGCTCATAGCCAACCTCATATTGAAGGGGCAAAAACTGAAAGCGCATCTTCTAACATCAAAACAAGGGTGCCTATTGTCACCACTCTTATTCAGCAGAGTACTGGAAAGGTTGGCCAGAGCCATTCCACAAGAGAAAGAATTAAAAGGGATACCAATGGGAAAGGAAGACCTCAAATTATATCTATCTACAGATTATGTGATTATACACTTACAAGGCCCTAAAGAGTCCGCCTAAAGTCTCTTAGAACTGACTTAAAAATTCAGCAAATTGAAAAGATACAAAACCAACAAATCAATTTGGTAGATTTCCTACATGCCAATAATAACTTGCTGAGAAAGAAATCAGGAAAGCAGTTGTATTCATAAACAAACATACAAAAGTCCTAGAGATAAACTTACCCAAGGAGTTGAAAGACCTTAAAATGAAAATTAGGAAACACTGAAGAAAGACATATAAGAAGAACCTATCAAATGGAAAAATGTCCCATATTAATGGATTGGGAGAAATAATATTATTAAAATGGCCATGCTACCAAAATTAATCCACTGATTCAATGCAAACTGCATAAAAATACCAGTGACATTTTTCACTGTACAGAAACAATCCTAAAATTCATTTGAAAGCACAGAAGACCCTGAATAGCTAAATAAATCCTGAGCAAAAGGAGTAATACTAGATATATCACAATACTTGATTTCAGTATATACTACAGAGCCATTGTAACAAAACCAGCATGGAACTGGCATAAAGGCAGACACACATATCAGTGGAATAGGACAGAGGTCCCAGGCATAAACCTGTACATCTGTAGCCATCTGATTATTGTAAAGGAGACAAAAATGTACATCAAAGAAAAGATGCCTCCTCAGCTAACGGGCAAAAGAGCTGAAGATACTTCTCCAAAGGAAATGTTCAAATGGCCAATAAGTATATTAAAAAACACTTAATTCCTTTAGCCATCTATGGAAATCCAAATCAAAACCAAACAGATTCTATCCTATCCCAGTGAGAATGGCTATTATCAAGAAGACAAAAAATAACCAATACTGACAAGGATGTGGGGAACAATAAACAATTACACACTACTGATGGGAATGTAAGTTAGTAAAGCTACTACACAAATCAGCATGGAGGCTCCTAGGAAAACTAAAAGAACTGGCAGATGATCCAGCTATATGACTCCTCAGCATTTACCAGGAGAAATAAGAGGTCAGCACATGAGAAAAATATTTATCATGATACTATCCACAGTACTCAAATTGTGGACTCAGCCTAGAGACTCCTCTGTGGATGAATAGAAAAAGAAAGTATGATATATATCTGTATTTATATTTTGAATTATTATTCAGCCATAAGAACTAAATCATATTATTTCAGGAAAATACATAGAACTGGAGATTATTTTGGTAAGCAAAATAAGCCAGACTTAGATAAATACTGCATTTTTTCCTCAGATGTGGAATCCAGAGGGTAGGAGAAAGATGATAGGAAAGTTGAAGGAGACTATGAGGAAGGAGTAGAGGACCAGGAGGAGGACAGGTAAGAGAAGGTAATCAAGATGTGAATACAGCCATATGTTATGTCTGTATGAAAATGTCACAAACTCATTTACATTTTTCAATTAATAAGTGCTTATACTTCAAAAGGTGAGGAGAAGCCAGACACAAACAGAAGACAAGCTGTGTGGTCGCTTGAGTGGCAAGTTCCAGATCAGGCAAAAGGAATCCATCACATTAGCAATCAGAGTAGCGGTGGCCTCTAGAGGGGAGGAAATCCACTGAAAAGGGGCAAATTTGAAATGATGCAAAGGTTCTGTACCTTGATTTGGCCACTGCGCGCACACACACACACACACACACACACACACACACTCTCTCTCTCTCTCTCTCAAGATCTGCATATTATATCTCCATGAAAATATTTTTTGCATTAAAATAAAGAAACGGCAGCGAGATCTTGCCTCCGTCAGCTCACAATCTAGTAGATAAAAATGTAGGTAGATAATTAAAATAGACGGTAGTTTAATTTCTCAAAGACAGGAACAAATGTTAGTGTCTGCAGCCTTAAATATTGCTGCTAAAAACCACAGACTGGCCCCTCTACCATTATCTCCCTGACATTGCTAACACCATTTCCTTAAAGTAAATTAGAACATTTATTCTGTAGCCACAGGCATCATTTGAACCCCTAAATCCAAGGAGAGGATGAATGATCATTTCCTCATGAAGAGACAGCACCCCAATACTCCACTACAAATTCATAACCTTGATCATTGCATTAACAAAGGCTACAAAGTTTAAAAGTTGTTCAGATTGGGTGGCTATGTGAAATGGTTTACCCCCAGGTTGATTTTTTCAAGTTTATATCATATTCTGGTAATGCATATTCAGGTGACTTACATAGAAAATATTATTTAGTTCAGGTATTCTGATGTGTTTATAAAAAGAAAAACAATTCTGAGGCTAGCCTTCTAAGGTCATTGTCAAACTTTAGAAATTAGTTGAGTCATTCTTCAGCAACTTTTATAACATGCTCAAGATCCGCCTCCACAGTGCAAATGAAATTTTCTTTTTCCTGTTTGTGGTTAAAATCCACAATCAGGCAAAGGAAAAATGAGGTTCCCCTCAGCACTCTGATATCTAGAGTAAACTGGATCTTTTTCCTGTAGGAATAAAACTAAATACAGTACTGAAAATTTCAGCTCTCTTTGTAATAAATCAGTGTTCATTATTAAGGGCCTGACCTTATCGGCTATCTTACTTATAAGAATTTCAGACATGAATTTTATTGCTAGTGCTCTTTCAAACTCTGACTCTCCAAATGACTGATGCTGTTAATATCCATTCAATTTTCCAAATGGAATTAACACAGCTCAGAGTGCTGCCAATGTATAATTCCACCTTTCACATGATACGTAATCAACATATAGAAAAGAAGGAAGTGGAGAACAGACAAACACGCATGTAAATTCATCATCATCCGGCTCTTTGTTAATAGCAACTAATTCTAGGCCAGCAAAGTAAAATAGCTCCTGAAACCATCCAAGCATCTGTGGATTCAGAAAGAACAAAGACAAAGAAACATTTTGGTCAGTAAAAAAGGAGTCGAAAACATATGCCTTGGATTTCTCAATATAAGAATACACCTGGCAAAATTCATTTACGCAGTGCAGAGTTCATAGTGCTTGAAAAAGAGCTTGACAGGCTGAAAATATATCTGTGCTGTCCTACAACCAAGCAAGAAAGTCTTGAATTAAGCACAGAATTGTTTCCCATTGGGCCATGAAACTTAACTACATAATAACTGCTTGGATTTCCACAGCTCTGTTTTTCTGCCTTAACAGTCCTGAAATACTGAGGGCAATCCATCCATTTTCCCCCCTCTCCCATTTACAGCCATGTATTTTGCAGGAGCAGAATAAGCACATAAACATGTGTGCCTCCTGGAGACAGCCATGCACGTCACGTGAACAGCATGTGTTTTACGCGCATGAACCTATTAAACCTGTGTGTGTATATGTGTTCTTAAATGCTGGTACTTTCTGGAGTTCAAAAAAGCCAGCACCAATGTATTGTAAAAATATCGAGTGCTAGGCTCTCTAAAGGCATTTGTGCTTATGACAGTCTCAGCTGTACCGAAAGCAGGTCACATTTTCAATCTCTCTTTGAAAGATGTGGAAATTGAGATTCCTAGTTCCTTGCTAAGTCAGAAATGACAAAAGTCAAGTGTAACTTATTATATAGCTAGCAATTAAAATCACGGTGTTCTACTTCCCATTACCAGAAAAAACAGCTAGAAGTTAGTTAAATTTCAGATAAACAAAATAGTATTTCAAAATAGGTATGGCCCACGCAGTATTTGGGGTCATATTTATACTGAAAACAGATAGTCAAATAATTCTATAAGTATGTGGCATGTAGTATTTAAGATAGTCAAATGTTCAGCACTTACATGTACTCCTGGTTTACATGTAATTAACAGCTGGACATTCTGCATTTTTATCTGTTAAATCTGGAAACCCTACATCTACTCTCCCCTGAGATAAGAAATACAGATTACGGATTAGAGAAGTATCTCCCTCTTCAAAAGAATATACATCTATAGGCCGGGGATTTAGCTCAGTGGTTCCACCACCTGCTTTGCAAGTGCAAGGTTCCGAGTTCAATCCCTCATACCAAAAAAAAACACACACAAAAAAACAAAAAAACAAAAAAAGAATATACATCTATAATGAGAAGGCTACAGATCCCCAAAATGCACCACCACCTCACTATAGACTTAAAAAGGACAGGTATTCCAATAAGAGTTGTGAAAAAAATATTACCATGGTTTTTCTAACTCAGCTCCTGGTATGCTAAAAGCTCCTACCTGTCGCTGTGGCCAGTCCTGTGTCCTTGTTCCAGGTGCCAGATCTATCCGACCTAACCAGCAGGCCCTCACCACCTGTCTTCTGCTCAGCACCACCTCGGGGAGCAAGCGCACCCCTCTGATATCTACACCCACGCACCACTTGTGGAGAACCTAGGCCCACTATTTCATTCTCCCTGCCCCTAGTGTCTGGCTCTTCTTGCCTTTAGTCATCCAAACACGGGCACAGCAATCAAAGTAACACAAGATTCACCTGCTTCCCACCTTGCATTAGTACATCCCTGGGAAACAACCTAATCTCAGCTGTCTTTGGTTTTCCCTAGAACCTGTGATATGCTATCACCTTTGAGTGCAGCCTTTCTCCTCTGTGCTCACAATTAGGCCTCAGTTCTCCTCTGGTCTCTGACACATTTGTACCTCAGTAACATTACAGAACAATTAAACATGATTAAAAGAAATAGGGCACACGTGTGTTTTTCAGGGGGCTTATTGGGGAAGGAGAAAGCACGAGGTCACAGCACTGCTGAATGGAGGTCCAAACCCTGGAGGGAAAAGTGCTTATATCCCACCCCAGAGGGCTCAGAAGAACAGGAATCCTAGTTTTTTGAGATTTTGAGGTATCTCCACACTGATTTCCACAGTGGTTCCATCAGTCTGCAGTCCCACGAACAATGGAGCAGGGTTCCTCTTTCCCCACAGCCCCGCCAGCATTTGTTATTGGTTGATTTCATGATAGCAGCCATTCTTTCTGGGGTGAGGTGGAATCTGAGCGTTGTTTTCATTTGCATCTCTCGAATGACCAGTGATGCTGAACATTTCTTCATGTGTTTATTTGCTCTTTTCTATTTCTTTGTGTGAGAAATGTCTGTTCATTTCAGATGCCCATTTTCAGATTGGGTCTTTAAATTTGAGAGGTCTGACTTTTTAAAGTTCTTTATAGATTCTAGATAGTAGACCTTTGTCTGAGGAACAGCAGGTGAAAATTTTTCCCCACATTGTGGGTTGTCTCTTCACACTGCTGGTGGTTTCTCTTGCTGTGCAGAAGCCTTTTAATAAGGAGAGATCCCACTTGTTGATTGTTTGTGCTAGTTCACGGGCAACTGAGGTTTTGTCTATGAAATCTTTTCCTATGCGAATGTTTTCAAAAGTCTACCTAATCTCTCTTCCAGCCATTTATTGGATAAAGAAAATGTGGTTGTTTTATAAAATGGAGTACTGCTCAGCCATAAAGCATGAGAAATTAGAGACATTTACAGCTAAATGAATGCACAATGAGGAGATACTCTGAAGTGAAATAAATAGGACACACATGTGTAAATACCGAATAGTTTCTCTAGTGTGAGAAACTGAAAGTGTAAATAAGGACTAAAAGATATAATAGATAATGTGAAATAGGAAGAAAAGGAAAGGAAAAGAAAGGGGAAAGGAAAGAAGGGAAAGGAATTAATATGAGAAAATGGAAAAATGGAAACAAAGTCTTTGTAAATAGGGAGGGATAGAGGGGGTGAAGGAAGACTAACTGAAATGAAGACTAATTGCAGGAGAATGGGGAAAAAATAAGAACCAAGATATATGATGTAAAGGTACAAATTCCCAATAATGAATATCAGCATATTGTATACCTAAAATGTACCGATAAACGTAATGAATGGAAAAAAATAGCTCGATTGCTAACGTTAGTTATAAAAAATATCATTAAGATTTAGAATACTATGGTTCTAAGTTCTTTGACTCATACACAGCCTTCTGTTCTCCTGAAGAAAATGATCTCTACGTGTTTGCTCGAAGCCAGCAGGTGGCTATGAAGGCCTAGTCTGCAGGACGGAAGAGAGAAGGTGAATGTGGAAAAGGACTTCTCACCCCTGGGTCTCCAGGATGGTTTTCTCAATAACAAACAAGTCTCGCCTGGAGTGATAATTACTTAGCAAATTAACAAAGCAAAAACGAGGAGGGAAAATCATGCACAATCTTTCTAGCAGTTTGTCATATTGAAAACACAGCGTAATTGATTCCGCAACTGTACCAAGGGAATACAGAACCATAATCAGTTTTCTGTAGCGTGTATATCTACAGCGATGGAAGCCTAATTGCATAATTAATCATTATGAAATAAACTGCACAGATCACAGGTCTACATAGGAGCCAACAGAAAGCCATTTCTTGATTTTAGGTAAATCGTTCTTGTCATTTTTAATTCAGTGCACGACCCGGTCTAGGACAGCCTTGATTTTGTCCACATACAACTAAGTTCCAATTGCCATGCTGAGTATTTCGGTGACCTACTTAATCCATTCAGTGTGATACCTTTGTCTCCACCTTCACCTCTAGCAAATGTCTACCTGTTACCAGGTCAACCTCTGCTCAATTCTTTGAGGAATTACCGGAAGGCTATCTTGAAAATGCCCATGAGCCAAGCTGCAAACTGCACCATACCCTTCAGGGGCTTTTAATAAGAACAGAAGTAATCCAAACAACTCAAAGTCCTTATGTCCTGCCACTAGTCTTTGTGCCTCACCATGCACCCATTACCTTACGGCCATTTCCAAATACTTGCTGGTCACTGAAAACTCAATCTTCATTTTTCTGTTAATCTCTCTGAATCTTCAGGTTTTGTGTATGAAATAAGACTTCAGTACCCCTAACCCATTTTGATATCAGGCATTTTCTAGGCTCATGCTTGTCAGCAGTAGTACAGACTTCTTCCACAGAGACAGAATAGATGTACTTTCCCTATTCCCCCTGTTAATTCCAAAGGAGAAAGGGGGGGAAAACCCCCTCCAAATCAGACCTTGGACATTGTATAAAGTAAACTGAATTTGGGAAAGAAAGCGCCCGAAGGAAAGGGAACTGGGTCCTAAATCCTGGATGGCTGTGAGTTCTCGGGGTGTTCTTCTGGCATCATCTATCCCAGGCTGGGTGAGGGACAAGCCAGCCACCTGGAAATGCCAAGGGGCTGAAGAAGCAAACAAAATGGCAGTACAAGTTTGCTTTCTCTAGCCAAAGGAACAAGACAGGGACAGTGCAGCCAAACAGAAAACCTTCAGCTGATCATGGCTCTATGATAGCCAAATTCCATAGCTCAGTCCGTGACTTTACACACATCAACCCGAGCAAAGGCTAAGGAGAGGCGCCACTTTACTCTCCCTCTTGTAACAAGGCATGCCAACGTCCCTCCATCCTGCCAGGCCAAGTGAGCAATGGGGACATTCGTGCCTGCTTGGTAGTAATAAAGTCCCTTTCTCTGTCAGTATCAGAGCCAGTACAATGGGGAAACCTAGGCTTCTACCAAAATCCAGCAGGAACCGGCACACCGTCCCTCTCTCCAGGTGGCCTAATGAAAGGGTTCACGGAGAGTCAGGACTTTCGTACCATCTGATGATAATGAGGCCACTCCCAGACTTTGGTGTCATAGGGGCCATGAAGGAGGACTAAGAAGGTGCTCTTGCTTTTCTCAGATGGGGCAATGTTACTGGAAGAGAAGTCTTAGCTATACCCCCTGGGAACGAGCAGGTCCTACCCAAGGTATAAATGAAGACTAATTGAAAACCTGGATTTTTCTTTCCTGGCAGAAATGAGGCAATCCCTGGCCCCAGCACACAGTTCCCCTTCCCGACTGCTGTCAGAAAATGCCAGATAAAACAGGTTTAAATAAGATCCAGGAATTGACAGTATAATACTCCACATATCAAATTTCAATGGAAAACTACTCATAATAACAAGGACCAGGAACAGCTCAAACTTGCATGAAACAGACAATTAAGAGAATGCAACAGAGCTATTGCACTTGTATCATAAAGCTTTACAGTAACCATCATAAATATGCTTCACCAAAGCATTAAAAACAGGCTTAAAACAAAGGGAAAAATAAAGTTTCAAAAGAAATAAATATCAAGATGAACCAAATGGGAAATGGGACTTCAAATATACAGTGGTACCTTGGTTCCCAAATTCAATTCTCTCCACGATTCTGGTTGCAAACCAAGCTGGAGGAGAACCAAGTCAAATTCCCCCGTAAGGTCAACATTGAACCTAAGTACTGAATTTGATTTGGTTCTCATCCAACTCAGTTTGTGACTACAGCTGTGGAAAGAATCAAGTTCATGAACCTAGGTACCACTGTAGCAACCAAAAGAGAAAAGCTAATGGATATGCTTCCAAGAAAATGGAAGGGGGAGAAGGAAAAAGTAGTGAACTTCCTTCACTATTTATTCACTAATAGGGAATACAAAAAACCAACCTGAACCACAGAAAGAAAATAGGCTGCAGAAAGTAACAAAGCCTCTGGGACAAGTTATATAGGTCTAAAACAAATGACCTAAGTCATGCAATGAAAGCCTCAGAAAAAATGGAAATCATACAGAATTATTTATCTGACTGTTGTCAATCAGTTGACTATTCTTTTGCTCGATTCAGAGGGAAATCATGAACTGGCAAGGTGTAGTGTTGCTAGCAGTCTTGATGTCAGCAGATAATGCTGGATGCGGACAGTTGACCCAGCTGGTTGCTGGTCACTGCCAGCCACTGCCATCTGGTGCCACTTGTGCCAGAAGCTGAAGGTGGACTCTGCCAGGTGCTGGTCTCTGCTGCTGATCTCTACTGGCTGCTGGTTTCTGGAGCTGGCTGTAGTGTTTATTGCTGTTTCTTTTGAGATGATCACTCTGTCCACACTACTCAGGATGAGAATATTGAGTAGATTTACAATATTACTAGAGTCCATACTACCCAAGAAGTAAATCATGAGCAGATTTACAAGACTCCAAAAGTGAGTCTTAACTTACAAGGGCTTGTGCTGCAGCACAAGGTATTTAGTACAGTAGACTAACCCAAGAATTGTGAGGAGAGTGCTGCTTATATAGCATCTGCAGGCCTGTGATTGGTCCAATTGTAGACCTGCAATTGGTTCAACTTCGGACCTGGTGATTGGTCTCAATGGGTGCAGGGTATTCCAGAATAGCTGCAGCTGTCACAGTGGTGGTTCAGTGAAAGTACAGAAAGAGCACCAGGAATGGTTTGACTGAAAGCTGTCCTGTCTCTGGGAAAAATGGTGGTGCTAAAATCAGGGAATCTTCAGGAAGGCTAGCTGTGTTCATCACAGCTAACTGGGGTATGAAGAGCTTGGGAACAGTAGCAATGGGCCCAGATCCCTCTCTTCCGGATCTGAGGAGACTGGCCACAGAGTACTGGTGAGGCCACAGAGGCAAGTCCCCCAGGGCAC